CATTCCCCAATTACTATTTGGAAATACTACTATTTAGCTTTTATATCACTGGACAAATTCAAATAGCTTGCTCACACATGTGTACATGCACAGGCACATGCACACACATGTGTACACACACAGGTACGTATACACACTCGTGCACACATACAGCGCGCATGCTCATGCATGTGCACACATGCATATGCGTACATGCACACGCTTACATGCATGCACACATACACACGCATGCACCTACAGTCTTATGCACTCACACATGCAAACACACACACATGCATGCCAACACACAGATGGACACGCATATACACCCACACGCATACCCATGCATGCACACATACACACTCACACGCATACACATACACAGACACACGTGCACATATACATACACACAGAGATAAAGTGTGCCTCAATATGTGCAGGGGGGGTTACTGCTCCCATGCAAGTAATCAAGTTTGCTGAATGCTGTTAATTATCATGCTGCAGCAGCCTCTGTTTCTCATGTATCAGCATCCCTGCATTTCAAAGTGATAGAAGGGGCTCATTAATTAAAGCTTGTCAAATGAGCTTTAATTAGAGTGCCCCTGCCACCATTTAGAAGTGCAGGGATGCTTATACATGAGAGACTGTGGGTGCTTTAATTAGGGTGGCTCTCAGAGCCACTTTAAAGCACCCTCCTACCACCACCTCCCCTGGAACATGTGTGAGGATGCCCAGTGTGAGTTGCTTGAGATAATATAGCAAAACCAGAATAGAACTTGAATGAGAACTCAGAACCTTTTTGCTCCCTGATGTAAAATTTAAACAACAGGTCTACATTGTTTTTCATGACACAGGATTTTTCAAGCAAATTTTCAAGGCAAAAAGGGTTCTGTTGAATGAACCTGTTTCTAGTTCCTCTGTTACTATCTTCTCAAAGTCACTGCTGAAGTGAGTTGCCTGTACACTGTACTTCCACATAGAGAGATGTCTCTTTCTTGTTTCCCCATAATGTTTTTGGTTCTTTAATTACTTGCTACTTTGGTAATTTGGCTGTGATCTCTTGATGCAGAAGTTGATCTCTGTCTGGAGGACAATGGAGGATGCCATGCTAAGGCAGAGTGTACAAAAGCAGGCCCAAATAAGGTAAGCAAAGCCATGAGTTCAGATGTAGCTTTATTTCAGGGTCCTCAATAATTTTTAATTTTAGGAATATTTTACATTTCTTATAGAATCATAGAAAGTTAGGCTTGGAAGGGACTTCAGGAGGTCATCTAATCCAACCTCCTGCTCAAAGCAGGACTTTTCCCAAACATATCATCCCAGCCAAGGCTTTGTCCACCTGGGAGCTCACTCAGGCATCTTCAGACATACCAGGACCTCACTCTCCCTCACACCTCTCACTAGGTCTCACTTGCTCAGGCATTGGACCCTCCTGGCCCCTGTGCTGTTGCCCAAGCCTTACTCTCAGGCTCTGGGCCTCAGGCCCTCCTTGTTGTTGCCTAAGCCTGTTGCTTTTTTGTCAAGGTGTGCTCCCTTAGCCTTTCCCCTCCACAGGGTCACCTGCAAAGCAGCAGGGGCTGAAGCTTTATGGCACCCCATGTTAGCTGTTCACTAGGGAAGCATTGGTGTGGCATTTCCTGAGGACTGCCCTGCCACTAGCAGCCTCACCACACCATCCTCCCCATAAGGGTATAGTTTAAGAGGAAGTGCCAGAAGTGCTTTGTTAATGCCACAGTGGAAAGCAATTCCTTTCTGGTGGATACCTATTAGCATTCAGCTTTGTTTATGGTTTGGCTGGCATAGGCTATTACCCTTTCTTCTCCTTCTTCAACTTGTGACAACACAGCTCCAATGCCCACATCACTTGCATCAGTATCTGTCACAAAGGGTAACTGAGGGCCAGGGTATGCTAGAACAGGGGGTGACATTAACCTTTGCTTGAGCTCCTGGACGGCATCTTGGCATTCCCTTGTCCAAATGAACTTTGCCTTATCAGAGAGTTTATGCAAGGGGCTTGCAGTGGTAGCAAAACCTGCCAAAAATCTCCTGTAGTAGGAGGCTAGACCCAAAAAGCTGCACAATTCTTTCACTTTTTGGGGTACTGGCCAAGTCTTAATGGTCTTCACCTTCCCTGGGTCTGGGCCTATCCCCTCTGTGGAGATCACATGTCCCATAAAATTCACTTCCCTGCAGAATAGCTGATACTTGGTGGGCTTAATCTTCAGATTGGCCTCTCTCAGCCTCTCGAGTACAGCTTTCAGTTTCTGCAGGTGCAGA